GTCGCGCAGCAGGCGTGCGATAAAGTCTACGGATTCGGAAATTCGGCAAGCGCTAATGGCATTCCGCCATGACGATACGTGCATTCCGCCATGGTTTTGAGGAGATTTCGCCATGGAGCTGCTACGATTTCCTCAGCAGCAGCCACTACTCTCTAGATCTCGATCTAGAATGTCGAGATTGGAAGGAGGGAGTGGAAAACGTGAAGGAATGTGGTTTGGTTGAGGTTTGGAAGGCCCAAGGTTGGGAGGGGAAAGGTGCTACAGTGACAAGCAGCTTGGCCAACACCAAACCCTAACTTGGTTTGGGCGCACCCCTACCTTGTGGTGCTACACCACCTCGACCACCCCATCCTCCAAGGACATCGTATTCACTAAAACCTACAGCAAGGGGGAGTGTTGGAAATCCGAATACAGTATAACGAATACTGTATACCTGTGTGTTGTTTGGTTTTAGTGTAGTCCTCTTTATAAGCTTCCAGGTCCTACAATAATTGTCACAATTATTGTAGGGCCACAATTATTGGAGCTTAGCATTATTGGATGGTAGAGGGTACAATTATTGGTTCACCACTATTGGTGTGAATAGGGTTATTCTGGAGGGGTAGCTGGATGCATATATACCGTGCTGTGTCACTTCTTCATCATTATTGTGTCATCATTCTAACTTTCAACTATCAATCCAAGATTTCCATCTTGTTCTTTTCTACAAACACGTTTCCGCTACGCTGGCACTATGCCTTTCTAGCAACTGACTCGTTATTGAGCAGTTAACCGAGTCGTCGCTGTATCGAACCGCAACAATAGTTACAGTTAGTTAAACCTTTCATATTCCTCTGTAATCATATAAAGCTTTGTATCTCTTTGCTACTATCAACTTATCTTGTTCTCACATACCCGTAACTCCCCGGATAAAAGCGCAGGTGCGTTTATAATAAAAACAGTATTTTTTAGGGGGGTGTGTTAAGATAGAAGCTAAGGCTAAGAAGCCATAGCTAGGTTTTAGGGTATATGAAAGAGAAATAGGAGAAGAAGTGATTGAACTAGAAAGGAGGGGGATACAAGTAGCAAGCCCAAAAGGGTTATACTAACTATTGAGTACCCCACTACAGACTAGACAAGCATTATAATCTGACACACCCCCATAGTCAAAGTGGGGTATAATCAGTACAGCATGCAAGCATAGAGCAAGAGTTCACAATGATAAGCAAAACTAGAGGCTATCACAGAGGGCAAGTGAGGAGGAGGAGAGACTGTGGAGGGAGAGAAGATGCGAGGCAACGACTGAAGCTGCAGAGGCACGGGCACAGGAGCGGCTGACTCAGTGGCTACCGAAGCAAGGGCGACGGACTACTGGAGTGACTGGCTCCGCGGCTATAGACGAGCGGCATGAGCAACGGACCCACTGGCGACTGGTGCAACAGGCTCACTGGCTACCGAAGCAAGGGCGACGGACTACAGGCGCTGCAGGCGACACGACAGCTACCTTCACACAACCTCCCCCAGCTGCCCCACTCCCCTCTCACACACCCCCTGTTCAAACCCTAGCTCCACTCCCACAGCACCCCCCTTAAACCCTAAACCCTAGGCTCCCACACACCCACCCCCCTCAGCGACAGCTGCAGCAGTGGGAGACGAGGGAGGAGGAGGAGCAAGGGGAGGAACACATAACCGCCACCCCCACACCCGCTACCCCCATGCTCGGCACCCCACACCCCCAGCACCACGGAATGCACGGGGGGGGGGAACGGGACGGGCTGCAGGTGCGGGCTGCTCCAGGGGCGGCCGCTGCAGGTGCGGGCTGCTCCAGGGGCGGCTGCTGCAGGTGCGGGCTGCTCCAGGGGCGGCTGCTGCAGGTGCGGGCTGCTCCAGGGGCGGCTGCTGTAGTTGCGGGCTGCTCCAGGGGCGGCTGCTGCAGGTGAAAGGTAGGAGGGAGGGGAGGGGAAGGGCGCGGCCCCCAGGGCGCCCCGACGGGCGACGAGCTAGGGAGCCGCTCGGGCCCCCGAGAGCGCCTCGACGGGCGACGGGAGGGGACCGCGCGCGGGCCCCCAAGGCGCCACGACGAGGCGACGGTTGGGGCCGGCGCGCGGCCCCCAAGGCGCCGCGACGAGGCGACGGGAGGGGCCGGCTCGCGGGTCCCCAAGGCACCGCGACGAGGCGACGGGAGGGGCCGGCTCGCGGGCCCCCAAAGCGCCGCGACGAGGCGACGGGAGAGGCCCGCGTGCGGGCCCCCAAAACGCCGCGACGAGGCGACGGTTGGGGCCGGCGCACGGGCCCCCAAGGCGTCGCGACGAGGTGACGGGAGGGGCCGGCGCGCGGGCCCGCAGGGCACCGCACGAAGCAGGAACCCGCCGCGCGCCTCGGGACGCACGGCGGGCAGAAAACCGCCACGCGCTCGGAGCGCTTGGCGGGAAGAAAAATAGGAGGTCGCGCGCCACGGGGCGCGCGACACACAGTAGGGCAGCGGAAGCAGGTGGGCCCACAGGCCAGGAGCGTAATGCTCTGATAGCATGCTAAGATAGAAGCTAAAGCTAAGAAGCCATAGCTAGGTTTTAGGGTATATGAAAGAGAAATAGGAGAAGAAGTGATTGAACTAGAAAGGAGGGGGATACAAGTAGCAAGCCCAAAAGGGTTATACTCACTTTTGAGTACCCCACTACAGACTAGACAAGCATTATAATCTGACAGGGTGTGCTTCTAATTGAGTCATTTTATAAGCGCATGCGCTTATATAATGACATATACAAATTTATAATTTTAAGACACCAAATTGCAAATTTCGCTCTTGCCATTTCAAGCGAGTCGAAACATTTCGCGTCACAAAACAGATTCCCTTCCAGCACACAGGGGCCAAGATGCGACACTTTGCAGCCATGCCAGCACATCCTGACAGGTAGCGCAGCTAGTCATGTCTTCGAGAGTCAAGCTACGCGAAAATGAGACTGCATTCGCTTCAAAAATGAAATTCGCTACCGCTTTGAACAGAGATTTTATTTTAAAATTGTACATGCGCTTATAATAAGTTAAGTTTTCAAAGGGTGTGCGCTTATAATTGAGGATCGGCCAAAACGCATTGCTCCAGATAGAAGCGCATGCGCTTATCATAGGCCTGCGCTTTTATCCGGGGTGATACGGTACCATTGCAAGGTGGGTGGTTCAACAAGTTCACTAAAAGACGCTTCCGCTAATACATCACTACCCTGAGCCTTTAATCTTGAAAACCGATCCTAAGGGCTTTCCTAAGCCCAACATAGTGCAGCTGACCTACAATGTTGGCAAGTCATTCTCCTAAGTGCTGGCTGGGTATACGGTATTTCTTTTGCCCCTTCAATGCAACCCTAGTTTGAAATTGCAGAAATATCAATGGCATCAGAAAGGATTCAGTTTCCACCGCCTTATAGAACCAAGCTATATCGCACAAAACCCGCTACACAGTTGGTCATCTGGTTTTGCTGTTAGTGCCGCAGCTCCCCTGGTGGTCCTTGCTCCCTGGCGTGAACGTTCTTTTACCACCTGAATTAATGGAGTCAATTGGACGGATCTGACACATGGCCATACGTTTTTGGTGCTTAGCGACCATTACAGCTACAAGCCAGCTGACCGCCACACAAGACATGACAATCTGGTAGACATATCTCTTGGTCTCAGTATTGTTTGTCGCGTGTTGACGACTCCGCCCAATCGCTCTCAGGTACAGTATCTCGTCTCTTCCGGCTTCTGGACTGTCGAAGTTAACAATCTGTGCTATCCAAGCTCAGCCTGACAGATGTCGCGTAGCAAAATTACACTCCTGCCAGCCACCTGAAATTCAGAACAGATAAGTGATCCCGCCCTCCACTGTTAGCGTAACAGAAGCTCAACAAGTACAAAGCTAGTTGAGAGGTCCAAAACTGAGAACGTGGAGAGCACCGGTATAGATCGTCAAGTACCAGCATAGAAACCGAGATACCAGACAGTACCGTTTTTCCCACTCCAGCTCAACATCATCCGAACCGTAGTGTAAGTTTCGTTGAAGTTCTATCACCTCTACCAACCGCTGTTCAACTATTTGTAAATCTCACATAGTTACCCAACCAGCCTCTCACACACCTACCCAAGTTCCATCCTTACTCCCCTTCCAGTACCTCTGCCCCAACTGTCCCTCCCTTTCCTACACCGCGTTTCGCGCTAACGACAACGATTTCTCTCATGCGAAGTCGCTGACGGCGAAGCGTAGTGTCTCCATCAGATCCCGACGCTAGCTCCTTGCGAATTCTTCGATAGGTTCCTAAAATCCGCACTACTAACAGGCATCGCAGGCGTCGCACTCGTCGAATACCCTAGAGTTGTCGTCATAAGCAACAGGAGCCATGGCGTATCGCAAGCGCGTCGCGATATGGATAGGGATAACCCTTCTCGCCTCCACATTATTACTTATTGCGGACGGAGCGGCTGGCGGCAATGCGAATGGTGGCGGCAATACGAATGGTGGCGGGTCGACGAAAAATACAGGCACCACTAGCAGCGGGACCACTAGCAGCGGGACTACTAGCAGCGGCACCACTAGCAGCGGCACCACTAGCAGCGGCACCACTAGCAGCGGTACCACTAGTAACGGGAATACCAAGAACAACGCAAATACTGCGGCTGCCGGGAATACCGCTAGTAACGGAAACACTGCCAGCAACGGGAATAGCCAGAGCAATGGAAATTCAGCGTCTGCGGGGAATACTGCCGGTAGCGGATCCTCTGCTAGTAACGGGAATACGCAGAACAACGGAAATACTGCGGGTGCCGGGAATACTGCTAGTAACGGAAATGGAAACACTGCCAGTAACGGGAATACCCAGAACAAGGGCAGCACGATATCTAGCGGCCCTCCAGCATCGCCATCTTCAACGTCTACGTCAAATTTTCTGTCTCTGCCGGTCAACGGGTGCACTCCGTCAGCTTGCCAGAATCCGTCACTGGGATTCTACAAGGGCACGTTTCAGCAGGCGTCGAATGCGGCTGCAGTCCAAAACATGAACTACGGCGAATACGTACGTTGCGGGCAGTTTCCGCTGTAGCGTTTATCGATGCTGTTCCGTGTATATATCGAGCGCAGTTGAGGGTTTCACTTCGCAAATCACGAATTCACGCAGTTCATAGCTCTCCGATTCCGCGTGTGATGAGTCGATTTTTAAGTCAACAATCATTTTTGAATCGGCTCTCCGAATCCTCCTTGACCCTCCTCGATGATTTATGTATCCTGCCATCCTTTTCCACTTGTTTCCTTTACCTTCCTCTCGTCTCGCCCTCTCCTCCTGCCCCGCCTTTTTCGCCCTCCAATCCCCTTCCATCCCTCTTTCCTCCCCACTCCTCCCCACTCCTCCCCTCTCCTCTTATCAGATCTACGGCACGCGAATCAGCTCCGACCTTGCCAAGTCATCAACTGACGTGCGTCACGCTTCCTTCAACTCACCCCTTCGTCTTTCCCTTTCTTCCCTCTCCCTCTCTCCCTCTCTCCCTCTTTCTCCCTCTCCCCCCCCCCCCCATCAGATATACGGCACACGAATCAGCTCCGACCTCGCCAAGTCATCTACTGACGTAAGTCGCGATTGCGTAACCGCGTGCCGAGCCGCGTACCGTTTCGCCGTCCCTTCCGCCGTCCCTTCCGCCTTCCCTTCCGCCTTCCCTTCCGCCTTCAATTTCGCCTTCTCGTCAGACGTTCCCGCCCCCAACCTTCTCTCCCCCTTCACTCTCCCCTCTCCCTCCCCTTCCTCTCTCTATTATTCTCGTCCCCCTCTTTCCCCCCCTCCTCCCCCCCCTCCCCACCTTCTCGTCGTTTCCGTCACGCCCTTGCTTCCGTCAATTTCATTTCGCATTTCGCCCTCTGTTAATCTCGTCGCCCCTGCCCTCCCCCTTCCCCCCCCCTCTCCCCCACTTCCCCCCCCTCTCCCCCACTTCCCCCCCCTCTCCCCCACTTCCCCCCCCTTCCCCCTCCCCCTCCCCCTCCCCCTCCCTCCCACCCCGCTCTCTCCCCCTCCTTCCCCTCTCTCACGCCCACACACCTTCACGCCCTTGCTTCCTTCGGTTTCATTTCGCTTTTCGCTTTTCACTCTGCACTCTCTCTCCCCTCCTCTGCTTCCCACTCACCAATCCTCTTCCCCTCCTCTCCTCCGCTGTTCTCTCCTCCCCTCCCCTCCCCTCCCCTCCCGTCTCTCCCCCTCCCCTCTCCGCATTCCCCCCTTGCCCCCTCGTGCCCCCGCCCCCCCGCCCCTCCGCTCTCCTTCCGCCCGCCAGGCGAAGACCTTCCCCGACTGCTGCACGGACTGCGCCAACACCGCGGCCTGCCACTACTTCCAGTTCTACACTCCAGAGTAGGTCTTTCTACGCAATCCATCGCTCTGCACCGCTCATTCACCCTTTGCACCTCTCTGCACTGCTTTACACCGCATTGCACCGCAATCTGCCGCACTCCCTTGCTTCGCTGCACGAACTGCGCCAACACTTCGGTCTGCCGCACTCCCGCTACGCACTCCACCACAATCCACCGCACTCTAACGCACTCCCTCCATCGCGCTGCTCCGCTCTTCACAGCTCTCCACCGCATTGCGCCACAATCTGCCGCACTCCCTTGCTTTGCTGCACTGACTGCGCCAACACCGCCGCCTGCCACTATTTTCAGTTCTACACGCCTGAGTAGGTTCCGTACGCAGCTCCATCGCTCCGTACCGCTCTGCAGCGCTTTGCACCCACTGCACCGCTCTCCACCGCTTGCACCGCAATCTGCCCCGCTCCCGTTGCTTCGCTGCACGGATTGCGCCAACACTGCGTCTCGTCCTCTAGAAACCGCAACCCCATTTTTCCCCTCTCCTTCTCTTCCCCCTCACTCTCCCTAACCCTCATTCACCCCTTCAGCTCCATTTCTTTCAACCCTACTTTCACCTCTTCCACTTCCTCGGCACCTGTGCCCTTTTCCCTCGCCCATCATTTCCCCCACTCGCTCGTCCCCCCTGACTCCCCTCCTCTCCCCCCTGACTCCCCTCCTCTCCCCCCTGACTCCCCTCCTCTTCCCCCTGACTCCCCTCCTCTCCCCCCTGACTCCCCTCCTCTCCCCCCTGACTCCCCCTGACTCCCCCTGACTCTCCTCCGCCTGTCCCTCCCCCACCATCCCAGTTCCATCTTCCGCCCCTGGCGTACAGAAGCAGCGCTTCCTTTCTCCTCGGCACCTGTGCCCCCCTCCCTAACAATTTGCTTCTCTCTCCCCCTTCCCCCATCCTCCTTTCGTCCCCCATTCCCCCCCCTTCTTCCTCCTCCCCCTCTTCGTTTCCCCCTTCAGCTCCATTTCTTCCGCCCCCGGCGGACAGAAGCAGTGCTTCCTGCTCTCTGAGGCGCCGGCTGGCCTGGCGATCAGCGGGCCTCTCAGCTAGTAAGTGCCGCCGCTAACCATCTAATTATTTATTCGATTTCGTTAATGAGCACTTGTGCTCTCTGAGGCGCCGGCTGGACTGGCGATTAGTGGGCCTCTCAGCTAGTAAGTGCCGCCGCTTACCCTTTTCTTTATTCAACCTTTTGTATTTCAGGTGTACAATTTTTTCGAAGCCCATCCCCCCACTCTTCCTTCACCCCTCTCCATCCCCCTCCCCACTTCATTATTTTTATTGAGTCACTCATTTTTTTTTTTTTTTCATGCAACTCCATGTAGCTTCCGGCATGCAATCATCCTTGCTGTTACTTTTGTGCCGAATGCTTATTATTATTATCGTCTCTCAATACAATCGCATTGTGTAGAGGATCTTTTACAGCCTTTCCGCTTCCCTCAATGCGTTGTCTATCCTGCCTCTTCTTACCCTACCCTCCCTCTTTCAGTGTTGGCGGTTTCTGCAACCCCCCTGCTTCAGCCACCCAGCAGCAGTCCCCCTCAACCACCTCCTCCGGCTCCTCCTCCTCCTCCACCTCTTCCTCGTCCTCCTCCTCTTCCTCCACCACCACTTCTCCGACTGTTTCTGTGACCTCTCCCCCTCCTCCCGGCGTGAAGGGCGATCCGCATTTCGTGGGGTGGGACGGAGTGCATTTCGATTTCACCGGCCAGCCCGGCCACAGCTACTGCATGCTGTCCGATAACAACGTTCACGTCAACATGTATTTGGATGGTTACACGGAAACCAGCGCGAAAGGCGTCAAGGAAACGCACTCGTGGATCAAGGGTCTCGGATTTATCACGCCTAATCATAAGCTCGCGCTGTTCGCGAAAACGAGCGCGAGTCCCTCGCGAAACGGCGGGTATATGAAGCGGATTGTTCTTGACGGCCGGGAGTTTAATCTGACGGAGGGGACCAAGTACGGGACGGCTGACGGGGAAATCGAGATTGAGTTTGACGAAGCCGGGAGGAAAGAGGGAGATGAGGAGTCAGACGTGTACACTGTATCTGTCCGCGATACGTTGAAGATTCTCCTTCGCATGCGTCCGGAAATTGGGGGAGTTCGACGTCCCGAGGATTCGTTTATCCACTTCTCGATGGAGATTTTAGACGAGCAGCTGTCTACACGCACGCACGGAATTCTCGGCCAAACACTGTACAATCTGAACAACCCCGAAGCGGCTCCTACTGGGTATGATGTGGAGTACAGTGGGGTGGTTTGGGCGTGGCAGGTGGTGGGTGCTGACGCGGAGAATTACATTCAGGGGACCCCTTCGGATTACGTTACCAGCCACCTGCTGACCTCGGATTGCCGTTTCTCGAGGTTCTCCCGCCGGGGTTTGTTCCATTCCGCCCTCTCCCTTGGCTGCTGGCGCAAGGGATTCGTGTGCTGAGCTGGAAGGCTTTCTCGTGTTGTGCTGAAGTGGCACGCCTGGTTTTATTGACGGGCTATCTTGATGGTTCTTCTGTGTTTGGTTCACCAAATGACAAGTGAAAAGCAACACATGGGGAGGCGGTTTAAAGACTTACAATGGGGGTGTGGGTGTGCAACACACCTTAGAACGTCTTCCTCTACTCTTCCTTTCCAACTATGGTGGCCTTGATTAGTAGCTACCTCTCTGCAGTATACCATCAGATGGCAACCACATGCTTAGGTTGTCATGGTCGTTTGGGAAACGCTGGTCGGGGCCCCTAAACATGCTGCTTGTTTGGATGGGTGTGGTGCAGTTCATTAGAGGTGGGTGTCCTGATTCAGGCTTCATGTTATTTGTTGACATTTATTTATTTGATTGCTATTGCTGTTACACACACTAGGTTGCATGGCTGGAGGAACAATAAGCATACCAGTATGGATGCAAGTGGTGGCTCTGCTGGTGCTTGGTTTCTGGGCTGTTGTTTTCACGGATTTCCTAATAAGATGCCCCTTAAAGCCCGAGTCTAGAATGGTAAGGGCAACTTCAAGATTCTTGAACTTGTGTTCGTCAAGAACAGGGTAACCAGGTTCGGAAAGCTGATCTCTCGCGACTCACCGAGAAGGGAGCTGGTGGGCCAGAAGGTGATTGGCCAAATGGCCCACAGCAAAAACACCGACGAGCCTCGCGAGAAACAAAGGACAAGTACCACTGTTCACACTTTCACAACTTGAAACTCGAGAATACCTTTCTAGACTCGTAGCATAGTGGCCTCCATAGCCCTAGTTCTCATCAGTAGCCAGCATAGATACGCCCATCTCCCTGCCCTATGCTAAGACGTTAGTAGCACACAGAGATGAAAATTCCCGGCGACTTATTTCGCGCATAACAAATCCGATCTCGTAGCCATGAACAAAGACAGGACCCTCAGATTGATCACCACCGTGAGAATCACTCGTCGCCACTGAAGGTATCCCAGTCCGCACTCAATGCCGGTCCGCAATCACTCAAGGCCCGCCCTCACTCCCGTCAAACTCTCTCTCCCGTCGCGCTCTCACTCCCATCGCTCTCTCACTCCCACAACGCTCTCACTCCCGTCGCTCTCTTACTCCCGTCGCTCTCTCACTCCCGTCGCGCTCTCACTCCCGTCGCTCTCTCACTCCCGTCGCGCTCTCACTCCCGTCGCTCTCTCACTCCCGTCGCTCTCTCACTCCCGTCGCGCTCTCACTCCCGTCGCGCTCTCACTCCCGTCGCTCTCTCACTCCTGTCGCGCTCTCACTCCCGCCGCGCTCTCACTCCCGTCGCTCTCTCACTCCCGTCGCGCTCTCACTACCGTCGCTCTCTCACTTCCGTCGCGCTCTCACTCCCTTCGCTCTCTCGCTTCCGTCGCGCTCTCACTTCCGTCGCTCTCTCGGTGACTGTCGCGCTCTCACTCCCGTCACCCACACACGTCGCTCGCACATGTCGCTCACACGTGACACACACGACTCACTAGCACATGTCGCTCATATCTGCTCCTCTCCCTCTCTTCCCCCTTTGCGCCCTTCCCCGTTTCTCCTCTTACCATCTTCTTCTGTCACTCACACACGTCACACACGACATGCTCACACATGTTCCCATCTCCCCTCTCCTCCCTTTCCCTCTCCGCTCCTCTCCTCCCTTCCCTCTCTTTCCCCCTCCTTCCCTTCTGTGTCTTCGCCTCGCCGCCCCTCCCACTCATCCCCTCTCCTTCCTTTCCCTCTCGTCTTTTCTCCTTCCTTCCATCTGTCCATTCTCTTTCCTCCTGCCTTACTCACTCCCGTCTGTTACCCACATCAATCCTGTTAATCATTCCAGTCACTTGCTTTCCTCACTGTCCCACTCCTCCCTTACCTCTCTCACACCCCCTCCCTCTCACACCTCTTCCGTCTACCACTACTGCAACTGCCGTGCATCCCCGTGACGCAGGGTGCAGGTGATGGCGGCGTGTTTGCGTGGCTATGTGGCTTTGTCAATGTTGGGGGAAGGGGGGAAATGGGAGGCGGAAGGGAATGGGAGACGTCGCCCACGTCGCTCCCGTCACTCCCTTCCCTTCGGCCCCGACCCTCTCCGCCTCTCGCCCCTTCCCTCGTCGCCTCTCCCCTTTCCCTTTCCCCTATGTCCTTTCATGCGATTTTCCCTTATACCCTCCCTCCCTACCTCTATTGTCCGTCCCACCGTTCCTCCCCCTTGTTTCCCTCCTTTTCCGCCCGTGTCCTGCCCTCTGTTGCCCCGATCCCCATGCCCTATACCCCATGTCTCTCCCTCCCTTTGCCCCATGCCACATTCCCCCTGCGCCATGCCCCCATACCCATACACCATACCCCATGCCCCATACTCTCTTTGCCTCTTCTCTTCCAATCAATCCCCCTTACTTCGGTTCACCTTTAGGGGGGCGGGAGGGGTGCAGGAGGGGGATGGGAGGGGGGATGGGAGGGGGGCGGGAGGGTGGATGGGAGGGGGATGGGAGGGGGATGGGAGGGGGATGGGAGGGGGATGGGAGGGAGATGGGAGGGGGATGGGAGGGGGATGGGAGGGGGATGGGAGGGGGGATGGGAGGGGGGATGGGAGGGGGGCGGGAGGGTGGATGGGAGGGGGATGGGAGGGGGGATGGGAGGGGGATGGGAGGGGGATGGGAGGGGGGCGGGAGGGTGGATGGGAGGGGGATGGGAGGGGGGCGGGAGGGGGGATGGGAGGGGGATGGGAGGGGGGCGGGAGGGGGATGGGAGGGGGATGGGAGGGGGATGGGAGGGGGGATGGGAGGGGGATGGGAGGGGGGTGGGAGGCGGATGGGAGGGGGATGGGAGGGGGATGGGAGGGGGGTGGGAGGGGGATGGGAGGGGGGATGGGAGGGGGATGGGTGGGGGGTGGGAGGGCGATGGGAGGAGGGCGGGAGGGTGGATGGGAGGGGGATGGGAGGGGGATGGGAGGGGGGATGGGAGGGGGATGGGAGGGGGATGGGAGGGGGATGGGAGGGGGGTGGGAAGGGGGTGGGAGGGGGATGGGAGGGGGGTGGGAGGGGGATGGGAGGGGGATGGGAGGGGGATGGGAGGGGGATGGGAGGGTGATGGGAGGGGGATGGGAGTGGGGATGGTAGGGGGATGGGAGGGGGATGGGAGGGGGATGGGAGGGGATGGGATGGGGATGGGAGGGGGACAGGAGGGGGATGGGAGGGGGATGGGAGGGCGATGGGAGGGGGATGGGAAGGGGATGGGAAAGGGATGGGAGGGCGACGGGAGGGTAATGGGAGGGGGACAGGAGAGCGATGGGCGGGGGACGGGAGGGGGATGGGAGGTCGACGGGAGGGGGAAGCGAGGGCGACGGGAGGGAGAAGTGAGGGCGATGGCGGGGGAAGCAAGGGCGATGGGCGGGGGGAGCTGGTGCGACGGACGGTGGATGCGAGATATCGACGGACGGGGGAAGCGAGGTCGACAACGCTCTAATTTCTCATCTCGCACAATATCTCCGTGCTTCACACTCGCATTCGAGCCACATTCCCTACCTCGGTCCTCGGATTCCTCTCGATTCCTCGCAGCATATGTTCTCACATGTCATACCTAGCTATTTTACCCTGGATACTTAATAGTTTCCTAACACCGATGCTCTATCAGGTCTTACGCATGTTTTTCTCAGGTTGCTCAAAGAGAATGCTTTTGGACAGGGCGGAAATCCGGGTCAGGCCCTCAGATATTAGGATAATTTATCCTGATTCTCCTGAATTCAGGATAGGTGTCATGTGCTTCTCCTGAAAAAACAGCATAAGGGAATTACTTGTCCTGTAAAATCAGTATAATTGTTATTTTGCGTACTGAAAACTCAGAATAAGCTGTAGTTTCAGCCCTGACGACTCAGGATAGTGTCGATTCTCACCCTGAAGCAGGCCCTCAGATTGGTTTGGGGGTACAGCCACAGCCATGGCTGAGATCTACGCCACAGCCATGGCTGCACAGGAGTTACGCTGGCTCACCTACCTGCTGACCGACCTGGGAGAGCGGCCTTGTTCTCCTCCAGATCTGTACGTAGACAACAAGTCCGCCATTGCCTTGTGTCAGGAGCACAGATTGGAGCACAGAACGAAGCACATCGCTCTGCGTTACTTCCTGGCTCGAGAGTTGCAGCAGCGGGGTCAGCTTCGCCTTGCTCACGTGGCCACTCGGGCCAACACTGCTGATATATTCACCAAGGCACTTCCGTCTGGTGACCATCAGCGGTTTTGTACTTTGTTGGGCCTTGTGCCTACGTTTCCACACTTGTTGTAGTCTCTGCTTGTACTGTGATCTATATATATACATACCTGCATGCTTGCTTTGCTAGGTAGCGATCACTGTGCTGTTGTTGTTACATATATACCTGTGCATGTGAACTGGCCTTGTGGCTCTTGGCTTGTGCTCAGTGTGTGTGGTGACTTTGTGATCCACCCTGAGCTGTGTTTTGTTTCTTCTCTTGACTGGTCTTGTGACCATTGCTTGCTCTGGCTATCCCCCATTTCGCCTATGGGGGTGTGTCAAAACATATGCATGTTATTATCTGGGCTATATTGGAGCTAGCCTTAGGGGGTACACAAAATCATCTCGACACTCTAGTTTTGTACCCCCAACCTTGACCTAATCACCAATCGTTCCTACCTAGCTTCTAAGAAAGACGGTCGGTTGAACTTTTAATATGGCTCGGTAGGGTACCTAGGTTAACAGAATTTCGGATAACCCGCTGTTGAAATGTATTTGTTACATTTATATACCTGCCTACAGTTGATCCTAGTGTAGCTATATGCTTCTTGTGTTGGTGGTGCACCTCCCCTCCTTTCTCCTATATGTTCTGTTTTTCCTATAGTGAAGCCCTCCATTCTCGCTATCCTTTGGCACAACCTACTCGATACCCTCCTTGCCTAGGCTCCTAAGCCTAGGCATCCTAAACCTAAGTACCTCCTTACTTTGACATGGTATTAAGAGCTGGGTCCTTCTAAGGACCTCCTCATTATTTTTCATTCGCCATGGCTGCTGCCATGGCGACCATCGCAGCGCCCTTCGCGGCGCTCGTCCGTTGCCTTCCCCGCGCTGCTCGCAACGCGCTACCCGCCCCACGCGCTCGTCGCCCAGTCCCGCGCGCTGACGCGTCGCCCCGCCGCTGGTCGCGGACGCCAGCGCCAGCGCCTCCAACCGTCGCGGACGCATGCGCGATCGCCAGCGCGATCGCCAGCGCCGTGCGCCAGCGCCAGCGACTGTCGCAATCGTCAGCGCCAGCGCCTGCGCCGGTCACCTGCGCCAGCGCCAGCGACATGCGCCAGCCCCGGACGCGAGCGCCAGCGCCAGCAGCAGCCGTCAGCACCCCCGCCATCGCCACCCCGCTCCCCGCTTCCACACCTGCCGCCTCTCTTTTCTACGGTGGACATTGCGGGGGGGAGGTGGCGGGGCTCGCGCCCGCGGCTACGGGGGTGCTTAAGCCCCCTTGAACCCTCCCGCCCCTCCCTACTACTCCTCCTCATCGCTGCCCGTGCATCTCCAGTGCGTGCCGCGTTTGGGGGGGGGGGGAAGAGGGTGTGGGGGTGGCGGGTATTTGAAGGCAGCCGCCTCCCCTTCTCCTCCTCCTTCCGCTGCACTTCCTATCCTCCTCCTCTCTCCTCTCCTCTACTCCTCTCCTCTCCTCCAGCCACCTCTCCTCTCCTCTCCTCCAGTCTCTTCCCTCCTCTCCGTTTTCCAGCCGCCTCCTCCTCCGTTTGTTTGCTCCTCCAGCCGTCTACGCCGTGTGAGAGGGAGGTTAGAGAGGTTGGAGGGGGGTGGCCGTCGTGAAGCCCGCAGCGCCAGTCGCCAGTGGCCCGTTGCTCCAGTCGCCCGTTGGGTCAGTTGCTCTAGCCGTACGAGCGGGATGCTCCAGGCGTACGAGCCCGTTACCCCAGTAGCCCGTGAGCCAGTTGCTCGAGTTGCCAGTGTGCTAGCAGCTTCAGCCGCCTCCTCCTCCTCTCCTCTCCTCCTCTCCTCTCTCGCACTCTCTACCCTCCGTGTACCACTTCAGGGGGTGCTGTTGCACATGGTTCTCACTGTAGGCAGCCAGGGGGTGTGTTGAAATGTATTTGTTACATTTATATACCTGCCTACAGTTGATCCCAGTGTAGCTATATGCTTCTTGTGTTGGTGGTGCACCTCCCCTCCTTTCTCCTATATGTTCTGTTTTTCCTATAGTGAAGCCCTCCATTCTCGCTATCCTTTGGCACAACCTACACGATACCCTCCTTGCCTAGGCTCCTAAGCCTAGGCATCCTAAACCTAAGTACCTCCTTACTTTGACACCCGCCTCCTAAAGACGGTTATTGTAAACTTTTCGAATACGTCCAAGGAACAGTTCCACTGTTCAGTGTGTTTCCGCGGTTCAGTGTAGCGAGAAACAGGGTGTAATCTGTTATGCAGTAGAGCGTACGCTCGAAACTTGCTGGCTCCTCTGCCTGAGGTGCTCGCCCGCATATATTTTAGGCCCCGGAATTCAGGAGATTTTTCTTGCAGTACATCTCGCTTCAGGCCCTGGCCTATGTTATCAGGATAATTTATCCTGATTCTCCTGAATTCAGGATAGGTGTCGTGTGCTTCTCCTGAAAAAACAGCATAAGGGAATTATTTGTCCTGTAAAATCAGTATAATGGTTATTTTGCGTACTGAAACTCAGGATAACGCTGTAGGTTCAGCCCTGACGACTCAGGATAATGTCGAATCTCGGCCTGAAGCGAGATGTACTGTACGAAAAATCTCCTGGGTTTCGGGGCCAAAATTGTACAAGGCGCACGAATGATGGAGCCAGTTGGAATCGAGCAGGCAACTTACTGCGTAGCAATCTTTCGCTTTACCCACTGCAACACTTCATGTTCGACTTTCTGAACAACAAAATTTATAACAATATTGTTTTGCGCCAGCTTTTCCATCCAATTTGGCCCACGATGTTCACCGCCACCTTCGCCATCTCCTTGTACTGTGCTGTAACACTTTCGCACCATGCAGCTGCCAGCGACTTGCACTGCCAGCCACTTGCAGCTGCACCCCAGAATTACACACTTCGAATGTGGAGAGCATTTCGATCCCCGCTAACATAACACGCGCGAAATATACAGGATTGTACGAAATGTAGCACTGAGCTGCCAGGATACTCTCAAACAGGGTCCTCGCTAGGTTTTGAACCCCCTTGATGCATCAGACGGGCCCGAAGGGCCCGTCTGATGCATCAGAATTTTTGCTTTTGAGTGTCTGACGAATCAGAAATTTTCAAAAACCTTGTCTGACCAATCAATACAGAGTTACGAGTGTGCAGATGCACGTGGGAAAAAAATTGAGTCGAACTTCTCTCTCGCCTGTCGCATCCATTCGAAGGGCACACAACACTCACCCTGTCATACTACATTCGCCCCGTCACACCACATTCGCCCCGTCACACCACATTCGCCCCTTCACACCACATTCGCCCCTTTTCACCACATTCGCCCTATCACAAGAGGGGTTCGCACTGCGTATAAAGATTCCAACGAGTCAACCTGTGACATCAGTGATCCATGCACTGTCACAGGAGAGATTCCCTTCCCACCACTGGAAATCGCGATATGCTATGTTTCGATTTCAGACGAAACAGAAAACACGTGTCTGATAGAACAGATGGAAACTAAAAACCATTTCTGACCTATCAGACGGCATAATGCACCCATTTCTTGAAAATCAGATGAGTGAAAACAAATCTGTCTGATTTCTCAGAAAAACAGACAAAAATGTCTGATAGCGAGGGCCCTGCTCTCAAATGTAGCACTGACATTTCAGGATACCTCACCCTGTGCAGCCCTGACAATTCAGGGCAGATTCTGATTTCCTAAAACCTGCCCTGAGGCCTCAGTGTACCCCCAAACCAATCTGAGGGACTGCTTAAGGGTGAGAATCGACACTATCCTGAGTCGTCAGGGCTGAAACTACAGCTTATTCTGAGTTTTCAGTACGCAAAATAACAATTATACTGATTTTACAGGACAAGTAATTCCCTTATGCTGTTTTTTCAGGAGAAGCACACGACACCTACACTGAATTCAGGAGAATCAGGATAAATTATCCTGATAACATAGGCCAGGGCCTGAAGCGAGATGTACTGCAAGAAAAATCTCCTGAATTCCGGGGCCTAAAATATATGCGGGCGAGCACCTCAGGCAGAGGAGCCAGCAAGTTTCGAGCGTACGCTCTACTGCATAACAGATTATACCCTGTTTCTCGCTACACTGAACCGCGGAAACACACTGAACAGTGGAACTGTTCCTTGGACGTATTTGAAAAGTTTACAATAACCGTCTTTAGGAGGCGGGTTATCCGAAATTCTGTTAACCTAGGTACCCTACCGAGCCATATTAAAAGTTCAACCGACCGTCTTTCTTAGAAGCTAGGTAGGAACGATTGGTGATTAGGTCAAGGTTGGGGGTACAAAACTAGAGTGTCGAGATGATTTTGTGTACCCCCTAAGGCTAGCTCCAATATAGCCTAGATAATAACATGCATATGTTTTGACACACCCCCATAGGCGAAATGGGGGATAGCCAGAGCAAG